TTTTCTAAAGATACTGTCCTCAGAACCAGATGAGATTCTCTGTAACAACACCAAGATGCTGCGGGAGCGTCTGAGCATATCTGGAGATAGACTGGGGGAAGAGCACCGAGAGCAGGACGATGGCTACGTCTATGATCTTTACTACCAGGAAACGGTCACACCAGGGTGGATCCAGGACATCCTGTCTGTCAGGGCCTATGCTGATGAGGGAGAACTGGTGTGTGTGGATGGATGGACGGACAGATGAATGAGTGCTGAAATTGGAGTGAGTGAATGGGTGGAGTGGTCCAAATTTTATATTTGGAAAAATAAATGATGGTCAGGTGGTAAACAGGTGGCCTTTAAAGTAGAAATATTATTTGATATTTACAGGGGAGTATTCTGTCATTGCTACAAAATGATCGCTTGTTTGTAAACAAGCATCACTACTTTGTAATGGTGCCTGGGGAATGTAGAAACATTTTGTTGCATTACTGCCACCTTCTGGTGGTGGTAGTTCATTACAGTTTGGCACTAGTTAAAAATAATCTCAAAAGGGTGGAAGAGGGGTTAAGATGAGAAAAATGTTGGGGGGTTTTGTAACTTAACTGATGACTTTTAAATGGTGTTTATTTTAAAGCATTGAAAGTAAAAATTTAAGCAAGAAGATTGTTTAGTTTTCTAGCCCTGGATGTTTGGAGAAGTCATTTGCCAAAGCATACCGTTAGGGTTTCTTCTTATCAGTGATGACTCAAAATCTCACTGGTAATTTTTAATATCAAACCACAACACTGACTTAATCATTTATATAAAAAAAAAAGCTTTTCTGATAAATGTGGTGTTTTTAATCTCAGGTTCCTGACCTTGTGGTTCATGAAGAGGAAGTGTATGAAGATGAGGATGATGAGAATGAGGAAGGCAACTGGAGGAATGACTACCCTGATGAGGAGAGCGATACAGACAGTGACAGAGAGGAGCGCTATGGTGGTATGTATTTAGAAACATGTCAGTTATTCAGTGCTGCAGTCTCTACTTGAACTCCTGTTAATTTAAACAAATGTCTCCCATTTCATCTTTTACTATGATGGCAAGATGCCAAAAGTTATTTAGTCAAACCAGGTTAGTGTGATATTCTAGTCATTTTCACTCATAGACAGTATCCTAAGGTCTTAGTTATACTTTTGATTGTCTAGACTTCTGCATTACGAAACTTAGTGTGCATAACTTGAGAATTGGTTCGCTACAAGAACTCATTCCAAGTCGTTCAATTCCTTCCTTCCTTTCTTTGCCAATCAATTGCACTTGCACTACATTTAGCTGATGTCAGTTGTTGTGCCAGAGGAGGAAAATGGTGGCGTAGTCTACAGAGTGGATATAGACAATACTTTTATTTTTATTGTAAAAGAGGATGAGAGATCGATGGCGAAGTGCAAACTGCAGCCAGGACAGAAACAACTGCTAGTATGCTGCTAACAGAATTTCGGCTCTTTGCAAGCTTCTGCACAGACATCACGTTTATGCTAAGCTAAGAACCCGGAGTGATATTAAAGATGAGTGAAATTCAACCCCAGCCCAGCTACCAGACTCGACTTCAAAGGGTAAAAAACAGATGAGCAGTCAGGCTGCAGTGTCCGTTTCTACCTGTTCATGTTTCTAAAGTAGAATCACTGTGGCGATCCATTTGAATGTCTGTGTGCTGGTTTTCATCTTTTGCTTTTTGTTGTCAGTTTTGCATTCATACCGAAATACCAAGAGAAAGCTCATATGCGTATCCTCATTAAAATACAGATTTGTGTTGGTGTGTGGGACTGTAGCCTGTATGTTTGTATTGTTACATTGATATTTATGAGAGTGCATTTCAGTTCATTTTAAGGAGAAAT